TCAAGTCAAAGTCACTTTATTGTCAAAAGCTGCAATATGTACAGGACATACACAGGATTGAAATTACATTTCTCTCAGACCCCGGTGCAACAATAACCATTTAACATTAAAACGTTTATTAAACATAAGCATAAAATGAAATAATAAAAGCATGATACTGTCTTAAATTGTACTATACGGTATAAAAATATTTTAAAAAGTATATCTATAAAATAAAATGAAATGAAATGAAGGTCCTGACATTGATATTTGTAGTGAGTGGCAAAGCAGCATATGAAGTGAATGTACACAGTGTATGTATGAAGTCCTTGATATTGGTGTAGGTAAAGTGACTTATGCAATAAGACTAGTAAAAAAATATATTTGTATATCAGCGGTAGTGTAATATAAGCAGCAGTGTGAGTATAAACATTAGTGCATATGTAAACAGTAGTGTGAATATAAACAGTAGTATGAATAAAAACAGTAGTGCAAATGTAAACAGTGTGAATGTAAACAGTAGTATGAATATGAACAGTGGTTTGAATATGAACAATAATATGAATATAAACAGTAGTTGGAATATAAACAATAGTTTGAATATGAACAGTAGTTTGAATATTAACAGTAGTGCAAATGTAAACAGTAGTGCAAATTGAATGAGCACATGAACATGTGTTGAGTGTATAACCTGTTTTTTAATGATGCAGAGTTCAGTGTTAGAAAGTTTTTGTGTTGTGTGGAAATGTGTGAAAGTTTTGTGTGTTAAGGCGGTACAAGAGGGAGGGGAGGCAGAGCAGGCAGAGAGTTCAGCATCCTGACTGCCTGATGAACAGAGCTGTCTCGCAGTCTGCTAGTTCGAGCCTGGAGACTCCACAGTCTCCTCCCTGATGGCAGCAGGCTGAAGAAGCTGTGTAGTGGGTGTGTGGGATCACCTGCCATGCAGAGGGCTTTTCGAGTGAGGCGGGTACTGTGTAAGTCATGTAATGAGGGGAAGGAGGTGCCGACGATCTTCTCGGCTGCTCTCACTATGTGCTGGAGTGTCTTGCGGCAGGATACAGTACATGCACCGAACCACACCGTGATGCAGCTGGTCAGGACACTCTCTATGGCACCCCTGTAGAAGGTGCACATGATGGGGGTTGGAGCTCCAGCTCTTTTCAGCTTGCGGAGAAAGTAGAGGTGCTAGTGAGCCTTCTTGGCCAGTGATGCAGTGTTTCTGCTCCAGGACAGGTCCTCTGAGACGTGCACTCCCAGAAACTTGGCGCTCCTCACTCTCTCCACTGTAGTTCCATTGATGGTCAGAGGAGCATGCTGGGCGTGCATCTTCCTGAAGTCCACAACAATCTCCTTTGTCTTATCCACGTTCAGAGAGAGATTGTTGTGTCCGCACCACAAGGCCAGGCGGCTCACCTTGTTCCTGTAGTCTGTCTCGTCATTGTTGCTGATGAGACCCACCACAGTTGTATCATCCGCAAACTTGACAAAGTAGTTGGAGCTGTATGATGGTGTGCAGTCGTGTGTCAGAATAGTGAATAGAAGTGGGCTCAGCACGCAACCTTGGAGGGCCCCTGTATTCACTGTGATGGTGCTGGATGCGTTACTGCTGACCCGTACTGCCTGTGGTCTCCCGGTCAGGAAGTCTAGCAGCCAGTTACACAATGAGGTGTTCAGCCCCAAACTGTCCAGTTTAAGGATGAGCTGTTGGGGGATGATGGTGTTGAATGCCAAGCTGAAGTCAATGAACAGCATTCTAACATAAGAGTCCTTAGTGTCCAGATGTGTGAGGGCTGTGTGGAGGGCAGAGGAGATGGAGTCGTCGGTTGAACGATTTGGCCGATATGCAAACTGGAAGGGATCCAGGGAGGCAGGAAGGACAGAGTTGATGTGTTTCATGACTAGCCGTTCGAAGCACTTCATCAGGATGGGGGTGAGTGCTACCAGACGATAGTCATTGATGCAGGAGGGCGATGCTTTCTTTGGGACAGGGATGATGGTGGTAGCTTTGAAACAGGTGGGGACGATGGTCTGACTCAGCGAGATGTCAAAGATATCTGTGAAGACTGCTGCAAGTTCCACTGCACAGTCCATCAGCACATGACCAGGTATGTTGTCAGGACCAGAAGCTTTTCGGGCGTTGATCTTGATGAATGATCACCTTACTCTGTCGGTGGACAGCGTCAGCACCTGGTCATCGGGAGAGGGGGAGAGTTTCTGTGCAGGTGTGCTGTTACATGCTTCAAACCGAGCAAAGAAGTCATTCAGCTCATTCAGTGTAGAGGTTGTGCTGTCACAGGTTTGTGGGGCTGGCTTGTAGTTCGTGATGGTCTGTATTCCCCGCCACAGACTCTGTGTATCCTTGCTGTCACTGAAGCGATGAGCTATCTTCCTGGAATACTGCTTCTTGGCCTTTCTGATGCCCCGGGACAGGTTGTTTCTGGCTGCCCTCAGGCCCACCTGATATATATATATATATGTATATATATATATGTATATATATATATGTA